AAAACCTTGCTCTCCTGCTCTGGCCTGTAGTGCCTGTCTGCGTGCTGGGCAATTGAGTGTATCAGACTGTGTTCAGTCAATCCTGCTTAAGTCAAGCCCCTCATCACAAAGCCTCCATCAGCTTGTCTTCTGCAAGGAGAATTTATCAGTAAGTCAGCAGGAGAGGGGATTAAGACCACAGCCATTTACCCACGTGTCCTGTGCAATGTGCAATGAAATGTTAGTGTCGTAACCCCTCAGTTCTACATTATTATTTCATTGGTAAGGAGGCATTTTGCTGAGATGTCTCTCTGTCCTTTATTTAAAGAGAATGTAATGAAACCAGAATTCTTGTACAAGACCAAACCAGGGAGTCCTCTGTTTTGATATCTGCCTATGTTGTCAGTATTTTGGAGGAAGATGCAAGAATTAAAAAAAATGATTTAAAAAAATCTGCCATTTTTCTCATCTCTTAGTTTCACCTATAAAGCAACTACTATATAGAAGTTGAGATTCTTTACCTCATTTATATAGAGAGGGCCCGTTGATTTGCCCCTCCCATGTATTTAAGCAGTCATCCAATTCCCTCTTAAATGTGATAAATTCTTAGTCTGCCCTCATATGAAATATTTTCACAAGAAATAGCTGGCATGTCCTGTATTTTGAATGTTTTAATTTTTCTGTGTCTTTTTTGATACAATAAAATAGTGAATAGAAAGTTCAAAGTTGGAGTTCATAGAACAGGATCATTGATTTTTAGAAGGTTACTATAAATTTTCTGTTATTTTCTGTTCAATTCTATGTACAGGCTAATATTATCACTTTGACCTCTCTATAAAGCAACACTTTTCACCAAGCATCACTGCAAGCATGTACTGTTTCCCTTTCTAATTGATTATAGTTAACTTAAAACCCAGTGATGTGTGTGAGTGGCTGAGACTATTTATTCCAAGGTGTATTACTGAGATGCATTCAACTGTGAATTTCATCTGCTCCTTTGCTGCATATTTATTTAGTTTTATTTGATACCACTGGTGGTTGTAACTAATAAAATCTTAAGTAATTCTGGTTTGGGCAGATTTTACTCTCTCCTTGAGTAGGCTCATCTCTTGTGGGAGATCTTAACTTGCAAACAGAATTCCATGTTGAATATAGGTCAACAGTGTCATGCTGTAAAAGGAAAATAGGGGAACTGTAAATAGGGATATTGCCTTTGAGGCACAAGAAGTAACTAATCTTCAGTTCCGCTCAGAAATGGCGAGACCGCTTTCCAGTACTGGGCATAACATAGAATCATAGAATGCTTTGGGTTGGAAGGGACCTTCAGAGGTCATCTAGCCCAACCCCCCTGCAGTGAGCAGGGACAGCTTTAACCAGATCAGGTTGCTCAGAGCCCAGTCCAACATGACCTTGAACGTTTCTAGGGATGGGGCCTCCACTACCTCTCTGGGCAACCCGTTCCAGTTTTGTAAATTTTCCTGATTGTAAAAAAATTTCTTCCTCATATCCAGTCTAGATCTTAAGAAAGATGTTGACCAGCTGGAGAGTCCAACGGCAAACAAGAATTGTCAAATGCTTTGAATATATGACAAGCAAGTGTGTGTGTGTGTGAAGAATACAAGGCTGTATGTGTGTGTGTTAGTAATTTTCAGATAGGTAAAGGGATTTTGCAGAGTGGCAAGGAATAATCTGTTCTTTGTGTCCGTTGTGGAGACAAGAAGAAATCACTGTGACCTGTGACTGCGCTAATCATGTTGGACATTAGGAAAATATTTCTGAAGGTGCGGATAGTCGTCAGTGTGCTTTCTACATATCAGTCAATATTTGAACATGTCAAGATCTTCCACTGGAGAGCAGAATTTTGTCACTTGAAAACCTTTGTCTGTTTGTAAATGCATTTCAGGGCATTAGATAGCAATCTAAGTAATGTTTCTAGATTGCTCTGACAAAGGTGCAGGAACCTCATCTGATTTCTAGTAAGTGCTCTTAGCATTTTCACTGTCACAGGTTCAGGAGAAGAGAACAAGGAAGGCCCAGAAGAGGCGTGCATGTACCTAAGAATAAGCTCCTATATGTTGTTAAAAGGATGCCAATGTCAAAAGAAAGAGCACGGGCAGGATGATAGTTGGGTCATCATAATCAGGTGGTATCGCTATTTAAAGTAATGTGCCTTGTCACAAGGCAGAAGGTAGAGAGAAAATGAAGACCAAGGTCAAGGCTGCATCTTGATCCTCTCAAAGGCTAAACTCTAGGACCTGATCAGAAGAATAATTTACAAGAATTGGCTGTCCTAAATATGTTGTTTTGGTCGTTGTTTTGGTCATTCTCTGAATACCACCACAGTTTGTTTAATTATTGGGAAAGATAATGATAAAAACTTGTAAACCCATCAGATTCTTCGGTAAATGCAACTGTTACTGTGAAAAACAGGTGGTCTTATGGACAAGACCCTTTAGGTCATAAAACCAGAATAAACAAATGGTGTATATCCCAGTAGTCTTGCAGATAGCTCAGCTGTGATGTTCGCCCACTAAATAATCAATGGGGGAAAATCATAAAGCATTGATTTATCTGTAAGCAAGAGTACTACCCAGAATTTTATTTATCTCAGGAACGCTTTAGTCACTCCTATTTCAATCAAATGCTAGAAAAGACACTTTTGCTCTCCTGTCATGCTAACTTATTGTATTAGAAGTTTCCCAAAATATCAAGAGAATTACATATGTATGAGTCTCCAGGAAAGCCTTTGAAGGAAGGATACTGATGTTCTTGTTCTTGAAAGAATATCCTCATATTGTCACAAGGTATTAGTGATAGTGACATTTTTCTTTCCCCGCTATGGAGTTTTGTGGGCATTGCTCATCCCCAGCCACTCATCAGCATCTGTTAGGGCACTTTGGCTTACATTTGCCACCTTGGAATGCTCCAATCATTGCAGCAGATCCCTGTGGCAGAAGCCTGACAGCGGTTGCTCTTTCAGGTTAGGCTGGGGTTTGCTCTGGGGCTGGCACGTGGGAAGTGGGGCAGCGAAGCACTTGTTGCCGTGGGCCTTTGCTGATCCCTCTGGTCAGTGGGAATGCTCTACCTGGTTATGCTGGATTTTGGGCAATTTTGTGAAGCTCCCTTCCTGTACCAGCATGTGGGATTGTGCTTTGAACATAATGGTAATGCACATTTGTTGTGCTTTATTGGATTTCCTTCAGGTTGCCATGGAATCCACTGGGTATTGATATTTCTTAATAAATGAACTGAATTTAATTTGTAGCTTAAGAAATCCAGAGCCTGTGTATTAGAACTTCTTTCTTTCCATGTCTTCTCTCCTTTAGAAAGGTAGTGTTCAGGAGTGTGAGAAATGTGACAAAGGAAATGACTTTAGGGTGCAAATCTTAATTTCTGAAATTTGGGGTTAAAAATTGCTTGCTGCTTAGAACAAATGCTTTTTCTGTTAGCAGTGGGAAATACTCTCACCACATTCTAGACCAGAGCATGGATGTGAAACAATAACTGAATCAAATCTCTTCAAATGATTTCACTGTTGAAACATGGTTGAAATGGTTATTTGCTCTGTAATATATTTGTCTAAATTGGACTCAGTTACCATATACCGAGATCAAGTACGTTGTCTCACTGAAACAGGGGCTGTTAGGGCTAAAGACTGTGTTTTTGTGGCTGGTATGTAACTCACCGTGGGTGCAGCTGAAACACAGGAAACAATAAGTGCTTCCTGGATTTGAATTTTTTGGTTTTTTTCAATCTTTCAGTAGTAACATAGCAGGATTTAATAATTGTCAATTACAGATCTTAATGAAATGCTAGTAAGCACTTATTACTGTGATAGTGCAATGGAAATAGCTACCTGATGATTTAAGGGCTGTCTACAGGAGTAACTGCTCCTGAATAAACATAAAACTTTTCTTATTTGTCTCTGAGATTAAAATTGGAAAAGGCCATAAGAAATGCATGGCAGACATTTTATTTTTGAGGATCTTGCTTTTGTTGTAGATTGGCTTCACTTTTTTGCAGTTAATAAAGTTTGCAGAGTTGTATGTTCAACTGCAGGGATATTTTGTGTAGTTTGTGGATTGCATGCTTGAAATAGAAGTTTATGCAAATGAAAAAAATCAGAGTAGATCACTAATAGTTTGTGCATGTAAATAATCCATTGAAGATACCATCAGTTTAATTGCATGTGCAGATTAAAAATCTTCATTTGAAAACAAGACTTAATATTCAGTTTATGTTTATGTCAAAATCTGTAGAGACATACAGTAGTTTTATGATCATTAACAATGGGAAACCATAGAAATCTTGAAGTTTGATTTAGGTAAGTACCATAAATATGGATGTTTATCCATCCTTCACATGTCTCTCGAGTTTTCTTGCAAAATTTCTGGTTCTTCAGACCTTGAGGGAAGGTAGACATGTATTGTAATTCTGTATTTGGTTCCCACTGGACTCTGCAAGAACAGAGAAAAATGGCAAGAAAATTACTCATTCATTTTTGTTTCCTCACAGAAGGGTAGTTTAGGTTGGTTGGGGTTTTTTTCTGTCTACTTTCCTCATTATAGCAGTAGCTGTGAAGCTGGAAGAGTTCTATGCATCTGGCTTATTACTAAAGTAATTCAGTTCTGGATCATATGAATCTTTTAGGTCTCTCTTTTTTCATGCAAATTGCAGGAATCTTCAGAGTTTTCTTACTCTAATCTGCGATGTTACTAAGTTTCTACTGCAAGCGTAATGATGGATGCCTTGGAGCCCTGTGCTACTAATTATGCTCTGAATTTTTTCTCAGACACTCTGGCTCTTTGTGGTGGGTTAGGAACTTGATCCCCAGCATCAAACATTACCAACTCAACTGTAATGAAATAAGAAGCTGCTTACTGCATGACATGAAAAGGCTGCTCTTAGCAGTGTTTGTATGATGATGCTAAGCAGGTTTGGAGCTGGAACACCGCTGAACTTGGTAGTTTCTTTGTTAAGATATTTTAATCGATCCTACTGCAATGTTTTCTCAATGCTAGAATTCTGCCAAACATCTGGCTGGGAAGTTGCCCTCGGCAGCTGGAGCATGTGACTGTCAAGCTGAAGCATGAGCTGGGTGTTACAGCTGTGATGAACTTCCAGACCGAATGGGACATTGTTCAGAATTCCTGGGGCTGCAACCGCTACCCGGAACCCATGAGCCCTGAAATCCTCATGAAACTGTATAAAGAGGAAGGTCTTGCCTATGTCTGGATGCCAACCCCGGACATGAGCACTGAAGGTAATGCTCAGACCACTCTTGTGGCTAAATTAATAGTAACAAACCCTTTGAATTACTAATCTGTCACTTTCATGACTGCATTTTTTTCTGTGTAAATTTTGCATAAAAATATAGCTAATGCACAAGGTGTAATTTCTGTGTGTGTTTTCTCTAACAAATTGTTCATATTTTCTTGTAGATGGAGAGGCCATCTAAAGTACTTCGTGTCTGGCAGTATATGTGTATTTGAGTTTAAAGCCATATGACGTTGGTAACTGCTTGACTGTTTTTGCTTTCAGCTTGAATTCAGCCTGTATAATGAAAATATGCTGTGTAGGTGGAAGACTGCAAGCTTGCACAGCAGGACAGCTTGCCATCCTTGCTGGTTAAAACTGGAGAGACAGTGCTGTATGTGTGTCTCTGCTATTCCCCTCCCCCAGCAAATAGTTTTTCTTTAACTATAGTATCCCACTCTGATAAATCTCCGTAGAGTCATTTATATAATTATTTGTAATTAGTTTAGAGTACCGATAGCACCTCATGTCGTAACATAAATTATTGTTTTTAAATCCTCTGTTGGAATGCTCAGTTCAAAATCTTGTTTCCAACCAGTAGGTTAGAAAGTGTGCGTGTTTTCAAGTGAGTAGCCTACCAGGAGAAGAGAGTGCTTTCAATGGAGTGAAATACTGCTGCCACAAATAGAGAACTGTCCTATCAGTAATAGGACATCAGGGAAGACAGGAGACCTTAAAGCAGGGATTCGAAAGGGCTTAATGTCAGTGCTAATCTGTGCCATGAGGAGAAGTTAGGCTCTCATGTTTGCAGCTTCAGTTCCTGGGGTAACAGGGAGCAAGGCATCAGGAAATGTGGTATAGTCATCCCTTTGGGAGTGTGAAAGACTGTTCTGTGTTGTTTAACCATACGCTTAGTACACAATTAAATCACAACAGTATTAAGTTGTACAGGAAAATACTCTTCTGCTCTCCCTCCCTCCCTCACTTATTATTGACATAATGGCCTTCATTGCAATGGTTTGGAAAGCAGGAGTATGTACGTAACTTCACAAACCTCTGGTACTAAAAAACTTTGCACTTGCTAACTTTAATGCTATGTAAGATGTGCTGTTTGATGTAATTTGCTGCCTTATCTCATTCGCTGTGAAAATGAAAGTGCCGCACAAATTCAGTGTCAATCAGAATGTATATTTAGAGAAGACTTGGGGCATTTTACAGATTTTGTGTGATCTGAATCTATGTTGCCAGAAGAAACAAAGGTTAGGGCAGAAGGTCATTTGGAAAAAAACAAAAAGAAAAAGACCAAAATATGTCAGGTTTGCCATTTTGATTCACAGTGCATCAGGCTGTACAGACATAATCTCAACCGTGAACTAAGCTTTCTGAAATGCAAATGAATGTGCCTTGTTTTTAACCTTAGGAAGAATACAGATGTTGCCACAAGCTGTCTGCCTCTTGCACGGGCTACTGGAGAATGGACACACTGTCTATGTTCATTGCAACGCTGGTGTTGGCAGGTCTACAGCTGCTGTCAGTGGCTGGCTGAAGTATGTGATGGGATGGAGCCTGCGGAAAGTGCAGTACTTTTTGGTTTCCAGGAGGCCAGCTGTCTACATTGACGAGGAAGCTCTGATTCGTGCTGAAGATGATTTCTACCAGAAATTTGGGCATCTTCGTTCCTCATGCAAAGTACAAGAGTAGAAAAGCAGAAGAGGAGAAAGGTGTATTTGAACCCCAAGGACTTAGAAATCATGAGTCAGAGTCCTGCCTCTCCTCTTCAAATTATAAGCTTGTCACAGAAGTTGTGAGAATTTTGTTTAAAAGTGCCTTTGAGGGTTTTTTACTTGCTTTCTTTAAGCTGATATGATTCATGTTTTCAAGCCTTTTTCTGCAAGTATGAGACCTAGAAACTCTGCAAAGGGAAACTAAGATTTTCTTTTAACTACTTGCCTATAGGAGCTGAGGTTTTAGGGTAGACATTAAGACGTGATGTGAAATAGTTGGCAATATTTCAGTGGCAAGAAAGAGAAGACATTCTCAGAAAAACAGATACAAAGCTTGACTGGGTTAAGGTGTTCAAGTTAGGATGGAGTTGATCATCAAAGCTGCTCAGTTATTTTAGGTGGAGTGTACATTACTGAAGTGTTTTCTAGTAGTTTTGTAGACAAGTGGTATTAATGAGAAAGACCAGAAGGTCTGATTTTTCAACTCAGTTTCTTAAACAAAAAGCTAATGTCTAATGCAGTGAACTAAAATTTGCTCTCTTTACTTATGTAGTTAATGTTGAATCTTATGAGTTATAGCTATATTCTTTTATGACATGGGGGTTATGGTGGGATGTGACATGAAGAGAGGAAACAGCTCCACTTACTGCAGTCTTACTCTGTTGCAGGGAAGCACTACTATTTATTACATTATCCTACACTATAAGATCTCTAAGTCAAAGATAGATTTTGTTTTTCTGGTCTATGCAGCGTTATACAGTGGGCTCCCTAGGTGCCAAGTCAATCTAAGCAGTAGCCACTGGGCTAAAACAGGACGTACAGGAACTGCATGATAAGCCTCTGTGCATGACTGATGCCACAACCTCTGTGTTGTTGACCTAGATGAATTTCTTGACTATAGCAAAAGTCTCTTCTTCTTGCACAAGCAGTGTGTGGATGTTCACAGATGCTAGATTTAGCCAAGTGAAGCGAATACATTCCTTTATAGGAGCAAGGAGCAATTCTGTAGAGGGTTTCTCAGGAGCTTAGCCTCTGTAGGGTAATGTTGGCTTTGTGGATGATCCCTAATGTTTTCCAGTGCTGCTCAGTCCCTTAGCTAAACTAAGCAGTGGTACCAACAGCTTCCAGCCCTGCTCAGGTAAAACTAGTTTGCTGTAGGTTAAGTCCAAGAGAGAAGGGGGAGAAAGCATTTCCTAAGGAACAGAGAATTAAGGATTTATACGAATGTATAAACATTAAGAAACCTAATCTTTATAGGTTTATTCTTCAGTGAAATCTCGTTTTTTCCAGCCAACTTGACCCTCTAAAGACCCAGTCAGTGCCAGAGTAGTTTAGCTGATATGTATTGATGATCTGAAAACTTAACGGAGAACCTATTAGATAAGAACTGTTTATGGAGAATGTCTAGAATAATATAATACATTTTATTTATCCTATACTTGAATCATCTTCAAAGGAAAAATGTTTATTTAAGTTATTCTGTATGTGTGGTTTTGATTATGACTTTGTTTCTTACATTTTCCTTTGAAATAACACTGCCTGCATAGAAAATGGCCGAGAAGAGTTCTCTGTTAAATAAAAACATAATGACAGTTTCAGCAGCCCATTTTGTCATATGTCTTTGGCTCCCAGTTTCATGAATAGCAAAAAGGGTCATGACTGTTATTTCTATATAGAGGTGGGACGAGCCACTTTGACTGTAACAGCCCATTTCTTGTCTGCTATGCTGCGTCAGTTTTGATGGGCTGTTGAGGAGGAAATCAAAAAACAGCACAGCAAAGATGCGTGGGTGATATGGCACCTCTAATACCTCTGAAGACCAAAACCAGGGGTTGTTCCTCCTAGCCTGATGTGGAGAGCAGAGCGGGTACGTCAGCGGTGCTGTCTGGCTGTTGGGCTGCTGTGTGAATGTGCAGAGCTACAGCTGAGTGCCCACAAGTGCCCAGGAGTTACCTTATTTTGCTTGAGTTTAAAGTAAAAATGGTGAGCTTTTGCTACCATGTGCTTCTCAAAATCAGGTGCTGAGAGGAGGAGGATGGCATAAGAAGTAGAGATTAGAACTCATTTAAGTTTTACATTTCAGTTGAGATACATTTGAAACCCCAAGCTTAAAATGTGTTTCCAAGCATCCCTGAAAGACAGTCCTTTCCAGCAGATGCAACTTGTAGTACATGTTGGAACAAGTACTTGTGGCTTTGGCCTTGTCTCACAGCTAACAGTATTTCTTTTTTAGGGCTCTTGGGGCTGAACAGTGCATAACATGGCACAAACAAGTGTATGACTAAGTAAGTATAGCTGTGCTATATCTGCTATTTATAATTCTGATTTTATTGGCAATGGAAGCAGACTGGTGCTTCAGTTGTAGGGCAGGAATCCAAACGATACAGAAGCCACACATTCAAGGAAGCCCTAGCAAGGGGTTGTTGATTCATTGTTTATTGTCATTTCAGTTTGCTTCTCTGCTGAACTGCTGGGGGACTATATCATATACAGATTGCATTACCTGATGAACTACATGAAAACAACTTGCCAACATCATGTTAACAAAGACTGCAAAGAGATCCCATGGCTTGCAGTCCCTTTACCTATTTGTAGCATACTTTTTTTCTCATTGCTACCTTCCTGCCTTCCTCATTGAAGGCCACCCTGTCACGTAACATCCATTCAAAACCCTCTCTGTTGAATGCAACTAGGAATTTAAATGCTAAAGAGTTCATTGCAAGAGGCTACAGCAACAGAAAAAGCGAGCATATAAAAAAAAATCCATTTCTCCAACTGTATAATTACATGATAAATCTGCATCTAGAGATTATCCATTAGAATTCCAATTTGTAATACATTCTTATGCTGATTGGATCATTAGCTGTTTCCACAGACTAGCCTCTTGACGCAATTTGGATGAAAGGTTGAAGACAGTCTATTGTTCATATACTTGTATATTTCCTTGCTACTTTAGTCATAAAAGTGCTACAAAATTTAGAGAAGAACAACTATAGAAAGAATTAGAAACAGATAAACAGGAACAGTTATTTTAAAGTGGGCCCAAGAAGCCAAACTAATACATACACAATAACAGGAGCCAAGTAGAAATATATTGCTAACTCATCACTGAAAAGCACCAGTTGGGGAAAGTGGTTTTCTGCTGGTATGAGCATCAGTATTCTCTGCCCTGTTACAGCCAGGTTTTTACCTCTGTTAAATTAAAGAAGAAAGTGGAATTTGCTACATGGAATGGGACCATTTATAACTCCAGGTGCTTAGAGTATCTCAATGTCATTATTAGGCCAAACAATAGTATATATTCTTTCCCATGGCTATGCACATGAAGGAGCTAAACAATCCTAGCTCTTATGAGTGATTTTGTAACAAACACAGTCCCTTGAGGGATGGGTCAGGCTTTGAGTGGTGTAGTTTAGTGAATACTTTTCCATTTGACATCAGAAAAGTACTAATGAGAATCTTCTGTGTGACATTTTTAGGTAGGCAATGCAGCCTGGTGAAAGGAGACTGGGCTGGCTGGCATGACTGTTGAATACCTTCCTTTCTCCCTTACTCCTTACTTGTTATTTCACTCTTTGAACTTTGGTCCCTTTGGCACTAGTCTGCTCTAGTTCCTTCGGTTGTTAAGTTCCTGGTCTTCCCTTTCTGTTTGTACAGCACCGAGCACAGTGAAGCTCTGGATGTGGCCAGGACTGCAGGTTTTACACCAGGTTGTTCTCTGGAGTAGTTGGAAAGTCTCACAACTGGCAACTGAGCTGTGTGTGCTGCACAAAACCATGTGCAAAACAGTGTCTCTGCTCTGGGGTGGAATTAAAATTTGAGACTGCCAGCTGAGCCCTCTTGGGCAAAGAGAAAGGAAAAAGATAGTCTGCAGATTGTGCAGGAGCAGGTAATAAAATCCCTATTTAAAACAAGAATGCAAAAAGTCAGACTCACTCCATTATCTACTATGATGTCCTTTTTGAGTTCTAATTATAAAACCCACTCACTTTACTGGTCTGGTATTGAGAAAATTTTGATTTGAAGTAGTCAAAGACATTTGCCATAGCTGTATTACCCTGTTGCTTTTATTTTCATCATTAAATTGCAGTGAGAGGTTTCAAACCAATGATAGAGTTAAAAAAAAAAATTCACTGGGACTGTGCAACAAGAAATTATGAGGAAATATTTAGAAGCATAATAACTACCGCAAAAGCATATATTTGGCAAGCAAGTCCTACCTTCTTGAAGTATAAGGAACATCAGGCTGCCTTTAGCTAAAATGGAATTGGATTAATGTAGCAGAGGACAGGATATAGATAACTGTTTCCAACTGTAACTGTTTACATTCTTAGTGGTAAATCAACACCTCTGCAGTTATTGCCTTAAAAATATTCTGCTGGATAAGATTGTGTTTTATTTTCCACATGTATATAGCTTAAAGGGAAAGGGGCTGCTCTGAGGGAGCAGACTTTGGAACGGTGGAAGTATAAAGGAGTTAATCCTTTTTCTGTTACTCAGCAGCACAACGACATCACCAAGAGCAACACCAAACCATATGACTTCATAATTGATCTTCTTCCTAAATTAACAGAGGAAAGCAGCTTTTTCAAGGGCAATGAAATCAACATATATTAGCATAATTGCATAGTTGTGATATAAGCAATCAAAATACGGTTTTGCTAACAGTGAACCTATAGGGTGTTCATTCTTAATTAGACATACTTTCTCTTGCTCCACCCTTTCACCTCAAGTCTTGACTAGTTTATAAACAGTTTTGTGACTAAAAATTGCCATATTTGTAAAGATAAGTAATGTGTATTTTATTAAACCTTTTTTACGTATCAAGGCTTGTCTGGGGATAAGGAGATAAGAACTGTTCTATCCTGTAAAACAAGGGAGGTGACACTGTGAACCTTAGCTCTTATATAATTCAACCTTTTTGTTCTTAAACATGTTGTCTTATTTGGGAGATTGAATTTATAAAGATTGCGGGATAATGTCTGTGATTTGATAATTACTTCAATGCTGATGTTGTTATATTTACATCAGGGGAAATAGAAGGCCTGTTTATTCATGAGCTGGTAAAATATTAAATGATGCCTCATTCTTGATTTAGATGATGTGAGGAAAAAGCATAAAACAGCTGCCAAGAAAAACTTTCTAATGCTGGGCAGGTTTCTGTGGTCTTTATTTAATGTCATTATAACAGAATTTGTTTTGTGGTAATGCAGTTTCAGCGGGGAAATAATTAACAGTCAGGCCATCATCCAAGGGTAGCAGCCACGTTTAAGTTGGGCAGCCAGCCCAAAGTCACTGCAACAGATCAAGTGCTGAAAATGAATCCAGTCTTCAAAAATGCAATAATATACATAAACACAGAGGTTAAGAAATGAATATAAAGATTGTATTTGGAGAGAGGCAAAGATATATAAAGTATAATCCTAGCTAATGTCAAAGGGAAAAATATTTTGGAGTGGGATAGCAAACATTTGAAAACATAATCAATATGTTAGATAAAAGTATAGCTGGTATTTAAAGTTCACTAACCGGTTAAAGGAATACTACCAAACTATTTAGGCTTAGTATAAA